TCGCCAATGGCAAAAATATATTGTAAACAATATGAATCGTACGTGCTGGATTGTACGAAGCAAAGTAGATGAATTATTTATCAGAACATTTAAACAAGATGTTGGTCAAGATTTTCATTATTCTGATGAAATGACAAAAAAGAAATACGCAGAAAAAATAATGCGACGAGTTCGAGAACTTAACATCTCAGACAATGAAGGAAAACAATTATCTGATGTATATCTTACTTTTATTTCAAACGACAATGATACTCATAATCAAACTACGTCCATACTTTCCTATGTACAGTTTGATCTTGAAAAATTAATTAATGATATTGAAAATTTACCATTAAGTTTTCACGAAAATCGTCTACAACAAATGGCTATGCATGCAACATCTCGAGTTATTAATATTTGTTTCCGTCGTGGTTATGCTTTAAATGTAATGAAATATAAAATTTTGGCAGGTTTTGCAGCTATTATACCATTTTTGGATTTAATACCAAGATATTTTGCACGCGAACTTATTCGACAAAAGTTTGGTGTTAATACTTGTTCATATCTTTGGAAATGGTGGACTGGTGAAACCGATGAATTTCAAGATTATTTAAAAGAATTCGAGATTGAAATTGATGAATCTGATTTCAAAACATCGGCTTTAAAAAACACATGTAAATTCAGCAGTGTTTCAAGTGGAGATAAAGTGAAAAATGCGTCTTCAATTGCTACTAAAGCTGTAGCAGGTATTGGTACTGCTGGTGTTTCAATGTCGGACGATGGCCTAAGAGCTGCTGGAATTGGTGCAATAAACACTGTTCGTGGTTTGTCTGTTGGCTTAATTGTTGTTGGTGTAGTATTAACAGCAGGAATGTGTGCTTGGTCAGCTGTATCCAATGGTAAACAAATGTATGATTACTTCAATCGATTATGTGATGATCTCATATTTATTAGTGGACATGTAGCAATAAAAATTATTCAAAATAATGATAAAATACGCAAAGAATTTTTGAATCAGACATGAATCAAAAATTTATTTTATACTAAAACGTGTTCGATACATTTATCTTATTCATGTTTGTTACCTTTCAGAGAGGATTACATTAAGTAACATATTTCTAACGTTGAAGGTTTTGTGCTAAAGCAGTAAATAATCTTCAAATTTCATTCGATAATCATTTGTTGAGAACGACAATACAACTGAAAATGTTCGCAAAACTGGGAGGATTCCATCGTATTTCGTTGGCATAATAGCAGCAGTACCGGGAGGGGAGTTATGTCCGTGCATAATCTTCATGAAAAATGTCATGTAAGATAAAGTACATTAAATTCCATAGATACAGTTTCAAACTGTTACCACTATGAGTAGTGACGGAACCTGGATTTGGATTTAAATTTAAGGGGAGCTGAGCTTCATATTTACTGGCTAAAGTTCATCCACAGTAGCACAAGATTTTTTCTAAAAGCTTTCAAGCTCAATGCACTTATTTGGGTGTGGGGTGCGGGTGTTTGTATGGGTGGATGTGGATGTGGAGCTTCTCTTCTTTCACACCCATATTCACCTACACCCACACCCTATTAAGAGTGTTAAAGAATAAGAATGAGGAGGTTTCTTTCTCTTGCATTCATACGCTCATCGAGACACTTACCTTACTATCATGTTCACCCTATTTGGACAGTACGACAAACAAAAATTCAGTATATCTGTGTTTAACTTTTTCGATCGTGTTTAGTGTCCTAAGTTTAACTCCTTTGTTTCTGAATAGAACTCAAACTGTTTCATTACCAAACTATACAGAAAGAATTTTCTCTTTAAAAACAATATAATTACTACGAAAATACATTGAGATGCAAGTTTACCATGGAAATACTCATTTTTTATCGCCATGATTTATTTTAATGGAATTTGAAACATGTATATCTATTTTGTAATTGATCCGTGACTTATTATTTTTCAATACTGTACCTTTTAAAAACATAAATAAGATAAGAATAGTTTTAGTACTGTGTGTCGTTAAGTATCTTGTTGTGCTTTCTTACGAAAAAAAAAAATGTTTTCGTAGTACCCCCGAACACAAAATTCGATGTTTTGGTGAACGTATTGTTTAAAAAAGTAATCAAGTATTCATCATTAGTTTATCAACAATTAATGACATTTTCAATTTATGCAGAAGTACACGAAAGGTCATGTAAGTCAAAGTCAAAACAAAAGAGAAAAGTTTAGAATTGCATTCGTTTATCATATCTTAATGAAAAGCAATGGTAACGTTCGACTTTCTTCTATTCAAGTCGATGTCCAGATAGAGGATGAAAAATATTAAATATCGATCAATGAGTTTCTAACAGAATAGCTAGCACAAGATAAATGTTCAAAAATTTTCTATAATTTAACTACGGCATGTTTATGAATGAGCTTCTTCTTTTTGCCCACACCTTTGCCTTCAGACCACGACTGTCATATGTACCTCATTTTGTATCCTAGAAAAACTTGTGCGCCTGCGATGTACATTTTGTACCTTATTTGACTCTTCAGACATCTATAGCTATCAAATGGTCTTGCAATAAAAGCGAACTATATTTTTTTCAATAGAATTTTTGTCATCTTTAGAGAAACAATTCTATCCATTTAGTTTTTACGTAATGTTTTCTGTTTTGAATGCTTGTTTTCGCTGTACAACTCTAACTGAAGTTTGACAAGTCTTTTACTTGTTGTCTTTGTTGTACTACTTCTATCACATTGGACTGGTATAACGTATTGATGCATCTAATATTGTTGTAGTTTTCTACTGAATGCATAATAATAATAATAATCTTCATTTCAATTGTGACAACAAGGATGCAATGCAGATGTATGAGAAGCCAAACCCAGAAACGATAACAATAGTTGAAGAATTATGTAAATCTAGTAAAAGAACAACTACAATTATGGTAAAAAATTCAAACTCAAAGTCACAGGGAGGAGTGCAAGTGTGATTGAAGAGAAAATTGACACCCAACTGGATCATGTAGTATCTGGCCTATTACGTGAATCTACGCAAGTTCTATATTTTTATGTTATCTTGCTGTTTCAAACTTGACGCTCGCTGCTCTTTCGACTTCCATGTATTTTATTTACTACTATATTCCAATGATATCATTGGAAATTGCTTCAAACCTTCTGCCGACGTAACTCTGCTAACTACAATAGATCCTATAATTTGTTAGGTCCTAATGTAACTTTTGTATCTGATTTGATATAAAAAGTTATACACGACAAGATCACAATTGGATTCAGTTTCTTCGTCACAGATTGTTGAAAAATCATTAAAACAAAATAAAATAGCATGCTACAAAAGAGCTCTTTTCTCATTTTTTTTATAAGACACTTTGAACAGAACTGTCCTCATCGGCCAAGTGATTGATCGATTGTCAAATTTCATTCTTCTTCCCTATTAAGGATCTCAGAATATCTTGAATTTACCTCAACCAGATCCTACAACAAACATGGTTTTGTAACACAGTTGAGTAAAACGCTTGCAGATATTTTCATTTTCTTTTCCTTTTGTTTTAACTCATTTAACTTTTTCTGCCAGATATTGGAGTTTCAGTGGTAAAACTCATTCTTATTAAGTTAGTCGTAATGGGTGTGAATATGGATGTGGGTATACTTTTCGCCTGCACCCTCAAAGCACCTCCACTCGCATCCACATGCACGACGAAGATTGGGGAAAATAGCTGTTATTCAAGGAAAATTGCTATTAACATTTCTCAATCGTAATGTACAATTAACAAGTGACATAAAATAGTAAGCATACTTACAAAATTTACTAGAAAACGAAAATTAAAACCATATGTCTGCCAACTGCTAATAGCTAAACGTTCAATTTGATTATCGGGTCAAAGTGATGAAGAATTAAGTTTATTTATGTTTAATCGATTCCTTAGAGTGAGAGCGCAGAAAGAGTTTACCCGGTTGTTAGTAAAAGCGTTTATCGATATCAGTAATATTGCTATGAAACAATAGGGGATGAATTTGACAAGGACCAATGAGAGAGGTTAGTGTATTCCAGATTGTTGTCTTGTTTGAACTCATCAATCAATATGCGGAAATGACACGAATGAAGAAATGCGTCAATACCATGATTGAGCTCATAGAAAGCAGAACAGATCACAGAGATATCGAGATGTTTCAAAATAACAAGTAATATTTCGTTGCTTCATGATTCGAGTCGACTAAGAGTGACATGTGACATGATTGGATACAAATGTATATGTGCTTGTCAACCTTTCTCAATGCATATAAATTATATTTGTGTCACTGAAAAATCATTTTTTTTTATCTGAGCTCAATAGAGTGGCTATAGAAAAGATATATTGACTTAAGCGACAAAATAATAATGAATGAGGAAGCCCAACACAATGGATGCTGATGTGTCAAATTGAATCTAGTGAATGAAAATATTAAAATGCGTTTGGTATCGCATATCACACAACATCTTGCTCCGAAGGCCATATGAACCATAATTTTTCTAACGGGTAACAATATCTCAGATGGTATCTCGACAAACTATTGACAATTGAAAATGACACAAATGTTGATGGTCTCATCGTATAATGTTTCAATTTCGCGAGTTTATGCGCAAGACACGGTGAAATTGTTGTTGTTGTTGTTAAATATTATAAGTTTATTATTTAAATGTGTTTTAATACGTTATTGACTGCGTCAACAGAGAGGCAGTATTCAAAACTTCCGTGCGTCAACCGAAATTTCAACAAGTGCATCATATTATTGGTGTCAGTAATCGAATTCGTATGAATGATGCTAAACAGAAGACGATAACATGATCAAGATCCATTATCTAGTATTCTATTTAACTCTATCTTTTTTTATTGTTGATCAAATAAAAATTAGCCTCACAAATCTGAACAATAATTTCAGTTGAGAATAAAACGTTATGAAATGAACAAGGACAGTATCAACTAATTTATTTCACAATAACGTCGTCGTTTTTATTTAGCTGTTCTAGACGAATGTCTTTTACTTAACATGAAAAATTCTGCTCGATGTTTTTCCATAGTGCTAAAATCTGTTGCTGTTTGGTTGCGGTCAAACGAGATCCATAATTCGAGACAACAGCTGCTGCAGCGAAATTTGCTAATTTTCCTGCTGTTAAAAAGTCTTTTCCTTGAGTAATAGCGAATAAAAATGCTCCGGCGAACATATCACCTGCACCATTTGTATCCACCGCTTCAACTTTGTAGGGCGCAATAATGTGCAATTGTGTACCATCGTAGACTAGTGCGCCTTCGGCACCCAGTGTTATAGCAAATGTTCGAGCAAACGTTTTCAAACTACTAATGGCTGTTTCTAGATTGTCGGTTTGTGTCCAATTCAATGCCCCTATTCAATTGAAAAATAATAAATCGATATGCTTACCGAACATTTCATGTAAATCATCGCGAAAATTCAACACGACGTCTGAATCTGAAAGGCTCGCCGCAATTCTCACACCGTTCTGTTCAGCGATTTCACGTACGCGAATTGCTGCTATGCGAATGCTTGGTGATATTACCATATAGGCTGCGAAGTAAACGTAATCTGAAACGATAATAGCTTCCGGTACAATATCATGTTCCGATAGTGTTGTATTGACACCAGAAAATGTATTCAATGTGCGCTCAGCATCAGAAGTAATCATCACCAAGCAAGTATCAGTCATACCTTCATTGCGGCGCTGTTCAATTTGACAATCGACACCTGCTGCGCATAGATCGTGTAAATAAAATCGACCGTTGTCGTCATCTCCAACTTTACAGGCATAAAATATTTTGCCACCGAATTGTGCAATAGCGGTAATAGCGTTGGCTATGGACCCACCGCTAGTCCGCTTCGAACACACCAGATGATCAGCAAGATGGTCGAACAACTGTATCTGACGTGCTTCATCCACTCGTATCATCGTACCTTTTTCGACTGCCATCGTCGCAAGATCGGCATCTGTTACATTAATCTCCGTGTCTATAAGGGCACCGCCCACACCATATACATGGTAGTGTTTCTTCATTGAGGTTCTTCTTCTGTCGAAGCAAATGCTGCTGTTCTATCGATTGGAACGACAAGAAAATAGCTCACGGTCTGTATTACTAATTACTTTGATGTTTGCTTAGTATCAGTTGTGTGCATTTGAATGTTGAGTTATTATTCACTTTTGCACAAGGTGAAGAATGAAACTAATTTTGTCGCAATTGCCACATGTACTGTACGTGTACACTTAAACGCAAGGCGATCTAATATTTTCTCTCGTCCATTCACCAATACTGAATGAATGCATGAAGTCATACTAAATCAGTGCTTTATATAAGGTATCGATTCGGTTGTTATTGTCAAATAAAATGTGCAATCACAGAGCTTGTGAAAACAAATTGTAACTGGAAAAATAAAAGTGAAATTAATATACATTCGAATAACAGCAGTGACTTAGATAGTTGTATCCAATACTAAATTTTCTCATCGTCTTTTAGCTAGAAGTGATGATTCGACTTTAGTTACAACAACAAAATTCCTGCATCATTCAAAAAAACGTTTTATATTAATAAATTTTAACTAACAGAGAAGTGTATCCAAATTATTGTGGAATCTATGAAGATATTTCATTCGATTTGACATTTTGAATTGCATGACAGATATGCGTTACATCATATTTATCTTCAGTATTGTCGTTCTTCTCAGGGGATGATACGATATTCAAGATCATTTTATTTCAAATCTTCGTACGTCACTAATCTAAAGTAGTTAATATTCAAAACTCATAGATAATATTAGATACATTCTAGAATCTACTAATCCTACTACAAGATCAGACTTGCTATCGAATAAGTTGTCCTTTTTGTTTCAAAAAAAAACAGACTTTCATCTTATTGACTCATATTTGAACCGATTCAAGACTAAAATCTTCTCTAAANAATAATTTTTTTTTAAATGTGAATGGATGATGAGCTATGTTTCCATCTCGCAAAGAACAGTACATAAAAAAATGAGATTGCTAATTATTGAAACTTTTATTGAAAGAGATAAACTTTAATTCATTTTATAAGTATAAGCTATACAAGAAAAGACTAACTTGTTTATCTTGGTTGATTATGCTTATCACTGTTACATACTTGAAAGGACGGGGGGGCATAAGAACAGGAATCGGCCCACGAACAAATTCTCATAAGAAGTTTATTTTCCGATGCAGAATTTTACGGTGAATCTTTTGATGCCAAATTCAATATATTTTCGAAACCATTTGATGCCCTTCGGCCCATGCCAATTATACCCTATTTTTACCCAGTGCAGAGCGATTATGTTTGTGAAAACATTATTTCATAAAGCTTCAAATACACTCATTTGAAAGAGCGTAAAATTCTGCACAAAATCGTATATGAACCAGCTCAAAATAATCAACATCAGTAAAAATTCCTTAGCAAATACTATGTTTTCACCCACATTTTTGGGAGGTGATCGATTTTCACGCAGCTGAGTCAATTAGGAATTGGTCCTACGATGGAGTTTATTGTTCATGGTCAGATGCAGTTTTCGACGGGCTACACGATGGTGTGATTTTTATCTCAAAATTTCATTAGCCAAAAAATTTTATAGGGATAATGCCACTGGCAAGAGCGATCTTTTCATATATATCCTTCCTTGTGGGTTCCAAAGTGCTTAAGAAATGTCTTTACGATGGACTTTCGTCTTCATGGATAGATGCAGTTTTTCACGACCTACACGTCGGCATGGTTTTCATATCAAGATTTCATTGGCCAAATTTTTTCTAAGGTCAATACCGCCCGAACTGGCGGTTTTTCGATTTCAGGCTTCAAAGCCACTTCTAAAGTGCTCCACAAACCACTTTACGACGGACTTTCCGAATTAGCGGTTGGATGCAGTTTTTCACGGGCTGCAATTTGGTACAGTTTTCATATCGAAATTTCATTGGCCAAAAGTTTTCCAATGGCAATATCGCGTGGAATGCCGGCTTTTTCGATTTCAGGTTTCTAACCACCGTGGATAGTGGTTCAGAAGCCACTTTTGATGGTCTTTTCACTTAAGTGTTCGATGCATCTAGAGTGCGGTTAGACCCTCGTGCAGATTTGTCCAGAGTTTATTGGCAAGAACATGGCAAGAGCAAATACTGCCTATCATTCGGATGATATGGGCTGTGAGGGAGGAAGATAGCGATAAAACAAAGCCAAAACCTTCCGATTTGGCGTACAAAAATTTGGGCTTTGTTTCCCCTTGGATTAGTACTTCGATTTGCGTGTGGGTGTAATCTTAAATTACCCAAATCTGAAGACACGGTGTAAGATAAATATCAGAAGCGAGAAAGCAATGTGAAGGCTTCCAATTCGATTTAAAATAGTTTGAATTTGGATGCGCTATTAAAGATTTGGTTGTAGATCTGGGCTTTTGATTTGGCTGTTACATTCGGATTTTGTTTCGTTGTAACATAAGTCCAAAGTTGGGATCATTTCGCTCTAAGACACCAAACCAAACCAACTCCAAAGTCAAGTCAAAATTTCCAACAACAGCTGAATCCTAAGCGGTACCTCCAAACGATGCTCACAATCCGGAGCCCACAATCGAAACGAAATCCAAGAGCAGAACTAAATCTCAAAGATTTGTCGCAAATCCAAAACATATTTGGGATTGATTGCATCCTTCCGGGATAGAGGTACTGTATTCATATTATCAAGTTTCACGTGAATCATGTCGTTCTTTGAACTCGTGACATGTTGTTCAGACTTGCTCAGGCGTATCCCAGTG